TTGGCTGTCCAGATGTAAGGCATTTTACTGAAAATAATATAGTTTTTCAAAACAAAAATTAAGAACTTTTATTTTGAAAAATGTCTGTAAGTAAATTGACATAGTAGTCATATTAATATCATGTAAAACATGTATGCTTTATAAATGTTGATTTAAACATTCATGAACATGTTATGAAGCATTTATGTCAGATGTTATAAATGTGTTACGTAGACACCCTGTAAGTAAAGTGTTACCGATTATTTTAAGGTTTGCCCTACTGGGTCTAAACTGCATTCAGATATTGGATTTAACTGCTTGAAGAATTTTTGAGTTGAGCTGAAATATTAACTTGGCATAAATACAACAATAATACTCTGATATTTTAATGTCCAACTTAGGTTAGATGCCAATAAAGGCCTTCAGTTGTTCATTTATTGGAGGATTCATTCAGGAAGAGTACAAAATGTGTCCGTTTTGTTGAATGGAAAAAGACTGAAAACTGACTTTTTCAGTTTACTAGAAAACAAGTAGTTGATTTGGAGTAAAACATTATTTTAACTGTTGTATTTGTGTTCAGATAATTTCAGCTCAGTTCAGTCGTGCTGTAAGGACTTACACTTTCGATTCAAAATATAATAGTGCAAAACCATGAAAAATCCTAATTAAAAATCTACTTGAAACAGAGCTTTGAAAAATTGCAAGTTATTACTTGTTTTGTTTTGTTTTGTTTTTTTCGTAAAAGACTGTGAAGTAACAGGAAATGCTCTAGGTGCAATATGTGTGTAATGATTACGGTATAAATATATATATATATATATATATATATATATATATATATATATATATATATATATATATATATATAATTAGCATATATATAATTATATAATATATATAATTATATAATGATATAATTAGCAGAAAAGTATCTTATGAGCGCATCATTGATGACTTTGCTTCTCAAAATATTAAATTAGCAGAATGCACCTGCATTGTACACTAATTCATATGCATTTTTGTTTTCATTTTTCTATAAAGATTCCATTTCTATAAAGATTCCCTTATACATTTTCCTGATCAAAACTAATTAATCAATCTATTGAACCCCAGGTCAATTTTGTTTTTTTTGTTTTTTTGGGGCGGGGGGGGGTGGTGGTAAAATACAATTACATTTACAATTACAATATATCTATATGAGACAGCCACAAACGCTATGTTATCTTCATATGACCTTAGGCTAAGATTTGTCATTGCTGGAGATATTTTTATGAATTTGGCTATTTTTCATAAAAAATACATACTATCAAAAACGTCAGTCCAGATGAGATGTCTTTTTAGAAGCTGTGCCTGTGGTCTAACAAACCAAAATAAAATGTACAGAACTCATTATATGGCTTGTTTACCATGAAATAATGTATAATTTTCATAAGACAGAGATTTTATTGATTCTCTCCCCTCATGGATACATGCTGTTTGATAAAACTTTGATGGCCATCAAGTCAGGCCTTGGATTGATTTCCCCAGAGCCAAGCACTGTAACTAATGATTTGTGTTATTCAGACTGACAGTTGTTTCTATTAGAACTGAAGTGAAATTGAAACATGAAGCTGAATGTCATTTATTATTAGATTATTTATTCTTTGTAAGTCAGAGATTGTAGGTCAGATTTTACAGCTCTCCAACAGCTCTGGAACCTGATACCAAAGGCAATGTGTGATTTTTATGGAGAACAAAAAGAGAGATATGATATCAGGACAAGGAGAAGATTTTGTCTTTTTTTCCAAACTGGCTTATTCATCTTCCAGATTTGAAGCCACCATATGATTGTTATGATATGTGTACCATGTCTGTAAGTTAAACTGTTTCTGAGTTATGAAGCATAGAAAATAGCCATGAAAATAGCCTACAGGATGCAGGTGAGCTCTAATGATGAATTCATTCTCATCTTTAAGTACAAAACATGTTTAGAAATGACCCTGGCTAAGTAAAAGCCACATGCAATTAGGCCAACCGCAATGGAGGTTTCTTTTTTTCCTCTGTTTTCATTGTATCAGATAAAAGTAGTGAACAATGTGAGCTTATAAACATTATCAATGCAGGCTCATAAAGTTGCCTGAAAATACCTGGCAAAACATTCTAAACATGAGATTGGATAAAACCAATAAGTAGCAGAAGATTAAAGACCAAATCAATTAATGATTAATGATATTAAGCCCTTTATCCACCTTACAAGGACAAGGCTGCAGTTTTGCCTGTTGTAAAAACATCCTGCAGAACGCTGGTCTAAGGGGACTCGTCTGAATGTCAACAGAGCACGGGGAGAAAAAGAGCAGTCAACGTCGTGACAGAAGCTGAGGAATCATTTCTTTATCCTGAGCTCAGTCTCTCCCGCTACGCTGCTATTTACCAACATCAAAAATTGACTTTGCTATTCAATCCTTTCATCATTTATGAGTGCCTCCCTGGAGGGCGCAATTTAAGAGCAATTAATGTCAGTCTTGGCAGCGTCAGAATTCAGCTGGCATTCATGTGAGCCGTGCAGTTTTTTGGTTCTGAGGGCTCAGAGCAAGCAGAGAGCACATGTCACTGTGATGCATAATTTACCTGCTCGCTGGGACTGCACTTTCGAGGGAGAAAGTCGTCGACTTTCAGCATTGATGTCTTAATTTACGTACTCAGGGAGCTGAATTGATGATTTATTTTCATTATATTAAAAAAAGATATTTCAGATGATTACTGGGAAAGACGTCTAGAAGAATTAATACTGCTCCATAATGAAAGGGAGGATGTTTTGAGTGAGAAGCTCCATTTCTTTTCCAAGTAGATGAGCATAAGATACCATCAGGTGAGCACCACATACTATCAGGTGAGCATCTGATGGTATCTTATGCTCATCTCTCAGCGAGTGTAACAGCAAAAGATACCATCAGATGAGCACCACATACTATCAGGTGAGCATCAGATACAATCAGGTGAGCACCAAAAACTATAAGGTAAGCATCAGATACTATTTAGTGCATGCTTGATAGTATTTGATGAGCATCTGATAATTTTGGGGAGCACCAGATGGGATCAGATAGTATCTGGCGTCACCTGATGGCATCTGATGCTTATCTGTTAATATATGATGAGTACAAGATAGTATCTGGTGCTCTCCTCATGGAATCTGGTACACACAGGATTATTACCCGAATAATACAACCAAGTCCTTTCAGATGAGCGCCAGATACTGTAAGCGTCAGATGCCATCAAATGAGCACTAGATACTATCTAGTACTATCTGGTGCTCACATGATGGCATCTGAAGTTGTCTGTTAATATATGGTGAGTACAAGGTGGTATCTGGTGCTCTTCTCATAGTGTCTGGTGCAAATCAGATTATTGCCTGGTGAAAAAAATACTACCACGTCCTTTCAGATGAGCGCCAGATACTATTTGGTGAGCATGACATATTATGAGATGAGTGCTAGATACTATAAGCGTCAGATGCCATCAAGTGAGATACTATATAGTACTAGCTGCTCACATGATGGCATCTGATGCTTATCTGTTAATATATGGTGAGTGCAATATGGTATCTGGTGCTCTCTCAAAGTATCTGGTGCACACCAGATTGTTACCTGGTGAAAAAAATAAACTACGTCCTTTCAGATGAGCGCCAAATACTATTTGGTGAGCATGAGATATTATGAGATGAGTGCCAGATACTGTAAGTGTAAAATGCCATCAGGTGAGTACCAGATACTATCTGGTACTATCTGGTGCTCACATAATGGTGAAAAAAATATACCATGTAATTTTAGAGGCTCTCTCATTATTCTCATTATTATTGTCTCTCATCGCATCTCACTGGTGTTCAGCATGTATTATCATTCTCTGACTCTACCAAGCACTTGCTCTCTCTCTTACTCTCTCACTCACTTACATGGATCCAGTTGCACTGGCATCTGTTTCCTCGAGCAGTATAGGTTGACAGAAGCCTCCACCTGTCCTTCTGCAGAACTCTTCAATTCAGTGGTGCATAGCAGACACCCTAAAGCATAAGGAAGCAGGAGCTTGGGACATTACATCTAGGACAAAGTCTTACTGTCCACACTCATCACCGTGTTTTGGGACCATGGCTCTGGGTCATCATATTCTTCAAGATCTGCTCAGTTTCAGTCCACCCTTCAATGGCATAGCAACTTGAGACTTGCTGGCTTGACACAGAGGGATCTAAAGAACCCACAGCAATGGCTAGCATAAAGATTCTGGATTAAACCTGACAATATTTGAGGTTTGTTAAAGCTATGATCACATTACAGTAAATCTCTTGAATCTTAGACTTATTATACGTTAGTTATTAATTTGGTTATTAAGACTTACTATTCAGTAATTACAGAAAATTGTACAAAAGTGATGTGATTTTGATAATGAGGAACTGAAGCGTGGACTAAAAAATAACAGAAATATTACATGTAAGTAAATTTGGATGGCCACAGAACCACCACATTCAGACATCCACAGAGGTAAACATCTTTGTTAATATTACCAAAGGTTTGGATGTTAGCTAATCTAAGAGGTTTCAATTTTTTCTGCATGATTACATTGTTCAGATGTAAACAAAATCATTCAGAGTGGTCTGTTTTCACGCTGTTTTTTGGGGACTATTTTGCCTTGCTACATCCTGTATGTGTCACTTCACCATCAGCATTTTTGAATATTTTTGAAAGTTTTAGGCCAAAATTTAATCTCAAATCTGAAGTCAAACAGTGTCTCAGGCAGCGTATTCATAACCATTTAATGTTATAACTTTCTGTGAGGGGGCTTTTAGACACATTAAACTCTTCAGACGTCTGGGTCCTATCAACTGTAAACAGTTCTGACTCAATAAGTTTCTCCAGAACATCAGGCCAATCTGAATGACTTCTTGGTTTAATTATGCATGAATTTCCCTTTATTAGAAACTTTTTTCCCCCCAAATGCTTCTGGCAGCTTTCCCAGCCTGGTCAAGCTGAGGACCCAAGGCCAAGGTCAAGATGATGCAGCAGATCCTTCGGGACATGTATGTGGAGCCAGAGCTTCTGGCAGAGTTAAATGAGGAACAGAAGCAGATCCTCTTCTACAAGATCCGTCAGGAGCAGGTGCGGCGCTGGAAGGAGCGTGAGAATCAGGAGGATGGCTGGGAGAGGTGCCCACCTCCCCCTCAGCCAGAGGGTGAGTCCAGCCAACATTCTGTGCTCCCTTCCAGACTGCCTTTTAAGAAATGGCAGACAACTGTTGCTGGGTTTCTTCCATGAGCTGATTGTTGGTATGATACCCTATAGTGATAATGAGTGTGTTGTGGCTCTTCTTGCCATACAGAGAAACCTGGTTTCCTTAGGTGCCTGTGTGTGTTCACAATGGCTCCTGGCTTGGATAAATGAATCTAGAAAAACTTGGTAAAAAATTGGGAAAAGCCAAGACAAGGTAGAGGCCATTCATTTGTGGTGTTAAGATCTATATAGTAAAACACTATATGATATGAAGTGTGTTGGAAAATGCTTATTACATGGTAGTTATTGCTTAATTATATAGTAATGTAGTAATGAGAGTCAATTTCCAACTATTGGCTTGACAAAGTTTAACAAGTGCTCTGAAAATGCTTAATTGACACAAATTAAGGATGAAAAATGTCATAAAGAGTAATTAGTTAATTAGTAGTTACTGGCTTGACATGATAAGGGTTGATAAAGGCTTAATAATGGACATCTAAAATGTTGTGCAAGAAATGATTATGTATGATACACAAATGCATAAGATCAATTTACCTATTTACTGCTTAATAATGCAGAAACAAGCAGCTAACTACTGGCTTATTAGAACTTACTAATCATGCTTATAAAATACTCAATACCCATTAATTACTGCTTAATAATATAATAATAAGCCATTTAGCATCTTGCCAGGACTTAATAAGCATATTACAAGGTCTGGAGGTAACTGGAGTGTTGCGAAAGGTTCTGTAGGGATCAAAAGTATCCTTTTATGGTATGACTCCAAAAGTTTCTTTTTTTGCGATGTTAAGGTCACGTCATTTGTTTTGGCTTGTGGGCAGCAAGTAGTAGTGGAGTACTAAGCATGTTCATCTTAGACAGATTCTCTGACTTTAATTTAAACAGTTTGTGGAAGTTATATTATAATTAATCAGCCTCAAACTTTACAGTACATCAGCTAGCAAGAAGGAAGACCCCCCAAAAAACTCACCTAGAGCCCCCAAAGGACTAGAGCCAGTTCTGTAATCCAGTGATACAGAATGTTAAACTGTTCTGAGACCAGCATTCATGAATTCATCAATGCCAGGTGGAAGAAAGAGGGTCCAGTGGCTCCATGGTGGTGATGGTGAGGTGTGGGTGTGGGTGATGGGGGACGCTCCTGGAGACAAACCATACGAGCAGATCATCAGAGAGCTGATCGAGGAGAGAGCCTGGCGGCAGGCCCAACTAGAAGCTCAGGAGCTGTGGTGAGTAACAGGAGACCTCTACTGATACAGAATAATGGAATACATATCATGTCAAAATCATGACCACTATGGTCAAAAGATACCGTAGATAGTCTAGAATATTTATAATACATTTGTAAATAAATTATATCTACACTATGTATCATATGAATGTACCCTTGGAATCTGGAAATAAATATAACATTAGAATTTGTAATTTATCAATAGATAACAGTTGCTAGGCAAAAGATTAAATTATTTCATGTTTTCTTTCTCCCCAGGCGAAAGAAAGAAGCAGAAATCAAGCAGAAGTTCAGGGACGCTGTAGCTAAAGAAAAGGCCCGACTGGTAGCAGGAAAGTGGAAGGAGGAAGCAGAGGACAGGAAGGCAGCTAAACGTGAGGAGGAGCGCATAAAGGAGGAGCTGAAGGTGAGCTGGTTCCTTGTTGATTTATGGTTTCGAATGGAATGATATAATTTCATGGGGATGTTACATTTTTTATTCAAGGATTGAGCTGAGAGTGATGTAAACCAAGGTTCTTCTTGGTCCTGGATGGCTGGTGAAACAGGGAAATCACCAAACTGTGCTGGGCGCTTGACCTCCAGGACCAGAACTGAAGAATCCTTCATGCACAAACGCAAGACACTTTCTTGCAGGGTCAGAAAATGCGATTTGCACATGGAACATATACAGCGGTGCTTGGAAGTTTGTAAACCCTTTAGAATTTTCTATATTTCTGCATAAATTTGATCTAAAACTTCATCAGATTTTCACACAAGTCCTAAAAGTAGATAAAGAGAACCAAATTAAACAAATGGGACAAAAATATTAGACTGGGTCATTTATTTATTAAGGAAAATGACCCAATATTACAGATCTGTGAGTGGCAAAAGTATGTGAATCTTTGCTTTCAGTACCTGGTGTGACTCCCTTGTGCAGCAATAACTGCAACTAAACATTTACAGTAACTGTTGAATAGTCCTGCACATCGGCTTGGTGGAATTTTAATCCATTCTTCCATACAAAACAGTTTCACCTCGGTTATATTGGTGGGTTTCCTCCCATGAACTGCTTGCTTCAGGTTAGGACTGTGACTTGGCCATTTCAAAACATTAACTTTATTCTTCTTTAACCATTTTTGGTAGAACGACTTGTGTGCTAAAGGTAATTGTCTTGCTGCATGACCCATGTTCTCTTGAGTTTCAGCTCATGGACAGATGTCCTGACATTTTCCTTTAGAATTTACTGGTATAATTCAGAGTTCATTGTTCCATCAATGATGGCAAGCCATCCTGGCCCTAATGCAGCAAAACAAGCCTGGACCATGATACTACCACCACCATGTTTCACAGATGGGAAAGGTTTTTATCCTGGAATGCAGTGTTTTCCTTTCTCATTTAAACCAAAAAGATATATTTTGGTCTCATCCATCCATAAAACATTGTTCCAATAGCCTTCTGGCTTGTCCACATAATATTTAGCAAACTGCAGATGAGTAGCAGTGTTCTTTTTGGATAGCAGCAGCTTTTACCTTGCAACCCTGCCATGAACACTATTGTTGTTCAGTGTTCTCCTGATGGTGGAGTCATGAACATTAACACTGGCCACTGTGAGACAGGCCTATAGTTGCTTAGAAGTTACCCTGGTTTCCTTTGTGATCTTGCAGACTATTACTCGCCTCGCTCTTGGTGCGATCTTTGTTGGTCAACCACTCCTGGGGAGCGCAACAGGGTCTTGAATTTCCTCCATTTGTACACAGTCTGTCTGACTGTGGATTAGTGGAGTCCAAACTCTTTAGAGATGGTTTTGTAATCTTTTCCAGCCTGATGAGCATCAAGAACTCTTCTTCTGAGGTCCTCAGAAATCTCCTTTGTTCGTGCCATTATACACTTCTACAAACACATGTTGTGATGATCTGTGATAGATCCCTTTAAATAAGAACAGGGTAGTCACTCACACCTGTTTGCCATCCCATTAAATGAAAACACCTGACTCTAATTTCACCTTCAAATCCTAAACATTCACATAATTTTGTCACTCACATATATGTACTATTGGATCATTTACCTGTTTTTTCTAATTAGTGTGAAAATCTGATTAAGTTTTACATCAAATTTATGCGGAAATATAGAAAATTCTAAATGGTTCACAAACTTTCAAGCACCACTGTAATTTAACAGTAATTCATTTTCCAGATGTTTTGCTCTCCAGCAGCCTCTGAAATGTTTAGGCCCCCAGGGTCATGGAGAGGATTCATCCAGATCTCACTGGAAGCAAAGAGATATGAGCAAAAGATCGAGCAATCAATACCCAATCTGAGTAAGCATCCAGCAAGAGGGTGTTCTGCTTCAGCAGGGAAAACAGTGGCTCCTGTGCTGTGTGACTTTCTAAGTGCTTTGCTATAAAACAAATGGACAAATTATGATAAGTGTGCTATGACGTAGCTGTAGAATTAACACTGTAAGCAGAAGATATTTAGATATATTAATTTATTAAAGAATTTTGAAGTGCAGTACTGTGCAAAAGTCAGAGACCATTTCTTCCAGTATTTACTGTGTCCACACATTACTTTTCTTACAACTTCCATTCTTTTTGGGAGACTCACTTTCAGTTTTTGGTCAAGAAATCTGCAGAGATATTTTTCCACACCTCCAAAGTTCAGTCTTAGATGTTGGTTGGGCATTTTCTGCTTGTAGCCCACGTAGTCCAAAACACATTCAGTGATGTTGAGATTCAGGTTCTGGGGTGGCCAGTCCATTGTTCTGAGAACACCAGCGGTTTTTCTGTTTGATTTGCAAACTTTCTTTTTGCTTGACCTCTTGATCTCATTTTAGTAGTAATAGCTTCTCAACAGCTAAACGTCCTTTCAGACCCTTTAAGACTTTCTCCTCTCTCTGAAAGAGTGGATGAAGACAACTTTGGTGGTCTACCAGGTCTTGCATGGTTGTTAAGAGATATTTTCTCTAAATCTTAACTAGTTAACTAGTTGGAAAAAAGCTTGTTTACTTTGTTTTCTTTTCACTTTCTACTTGTTGTGCAAGCAGATTATCTTAAATCGAATCTCTGCAAACTATCTCCAGAAAGATCGATAACTTGTACTCACTGGTTGGACTGAAAAATAAATAAATGAAGTGGTCTCTGGCTTTTGCACAGTCCTGTGCTTGTGGATGTATACTTTTTTATTCCGCTCACTGGCCACTTTATGAGTTTCATCTATCTTACAGGACCACTATGGACGTGTATAGTTTGTCAACTACCTTCTACTCCATTCATCATTGGTCATTTTCTGACCAAAGGTATATGGAGGCATGCTTTCTCTAGCCACAGATGGAGGATGCATTTAGGCTCATTTGTAGTTAAGACAAATAGATTTCATATTAGCATAGAAGACCATGTTTGACATTAATTTAGGTTAGAGGCAGAGAAAAAGCTACTACAAAAAGGCAAACAGTTCCTCATTCAGACCCTGCAGGGGTAGTGTTATCTTCCTAAACTTTATCAGAGAGAGAAAGAAAGAGATAAGAGAGCTTGCTTCGGGGAGAGGGCAGACAGTGTACTACGGGCTACATTTTTCAATATCATCTGCTCAATAGATCCCCATTGAGGCCTTGATGGTCCCAGATTATTTAGAACCCAGTAATGAGATCTTCTTAAGAAACTCGTCAAATATTAGAGAGCTCGTTTATCACGGCCCGCGCACAGATCGGCCTCCCTGCTGGATAGCGCTGAGTCATTAAACTTTTAACTGTTTTCTCTCCCAATCCTTTACGGAAATCTCTGAATGGATTGTTGAAGAAGCTGACATGAATTGTGGTGAAAAGAACAAAGCGGGATTGCTTGCTATATCTACATTGGCGGTTTGATTAGGAAGAACACCAGCTTGTTCTTGTAAAAGTCATTACCTCTAAATATAATGGCTTGATCATTATAGGAAACATCAGAGACTATTAGCCGTCAGTTTGGGCCATAACAAAAAACCCACCTCTACGATGAAGATCAATTCTGCTAGCATCCCTATGCGAATCAATTGGTATGTTAGCACTAAGCTAACAGCGATGTACATTAACGTTTTTTTCTGAGGTGTTTATTCTCACTCTACTCAACAATCTGATGGAAAATCTCAGTTTACATGCTCACTACAAGTAATCTGATCCAAAATGATGTGCATACATAAAATACCCCTCAGTGTAGATGTTACCATCACAACAAGCATCACGTGAGTCCAGTCAGAGTAAGACAACCAGCGGTTTGATTTCAGTTGGCCTCAATTGGATTAGCCTATTCTGATTGTGGTGTATACATGGACGTATTCTATCCCGATTGAGCTATTAGTCAGGTTATTAACAGATTATTAGGCTGCATGTAAATGTGGCTTGAGTCTTTCAGTTCTGGCATAGAGCTTCCACTGTTTTCCATTTCTAACAACTAACTGAAACCTGGTTAGTCTCTGGCCTGTACACATGGCCAATGATGTATCTAGAACTTTCAGAAGGCCTAGAGTGAAGTTTTTTCTCACAAACTTGGTCCCACTCCTGAAGTCCTAACCAATGGGAGTGTTCACTTCTGACTGGATGCAAAATTCTGCTTTGGGTATTTCTGTCTATATTGATTCAGCCCTAAATGAAACAGTGATTTAACAGTAGTATTGCAATTCTTAAAGAGTTTAAACACAAACATGACTCAAAAATTCCTATTGAATTAAAATGAATATTTTGTTTAGATTCTGGAAATCATTAGGCCTTCCCTGAAGGCCTAGAAGGCTCTGAGAGTTCCTCTACAGACATGTTTATTGATGTGTGGATTAACAATTTTCCTGTTTTGTTTTGTTTTGTTTTTTTCTCCTGCTCAGTAGCAACAATCTGTTGTTTTCCCATGACAATAAAGTTGTGTGCTGGCTTGTAATCCTGCATGCTGGTTTATCTCCCATTCTAATGAGAATTAGTACTTTCACTTTATTGTAACAGTCCAGCCGATGCTCCTCTGTTCCAAAACAGCACCTTTGCGGTAATTACATCCCGACAAAGTTTAATTGGCTCATTACCAAACGGCCACAAGTCAAACCCCTGGGCCTGAATTATTCGGCCAAATTATTTCCACTACGTAGACGATGAACCATGGGCTCGTATTTATCAGTGCTATTAGCACTAGCACGTGATTAGCATCCCTAAATAATCAGGCCTGTTGAGACATGCATGGTACATTAAGGCAGCGTCAAAAGGTGATTGCTCATTTGATCCCATGCTAACCATTTTTTGCAGAGGTGACTGTGTGTCAACAAGTCTGTGCTTTGCATGCAGAAACGAGAGGAAGAGGAGAGGCAGAAAGGGGAGGAAGAGGTACGACGTGTAGAGGAGAAAAGAGCAAGAGAGCTCTACATCTCCCTGGAGCAGGAGCGAAAGAAAAGTGAACAGGATAATAAGGAGTGGGAGGAACAATGCGAGTACCTCTTTTAGCTTTTCCTTTGCTTCACATCTCATTTACATTCATCCAGCAAACGTCTTTGCACATATCATTATGTCTTTTACTTAACCTGCAACACCTGCTGTTTTCCTATCTTGTTAAATTTCTTTTCTTTTTTGTGGTCCCAGTGCAGTAACGCTTCAAAAAACAATGCTTAACAAATCCCACATGCTACAAAAAACATTCGAGATGTACAAGCTATGATCAATATTAATATGCAACTCCACTTTATTAGAAACACTTACTTTGTACTTCCACTAGAGATGTTTAAGAAGGCAAAACAACTTAAAAGCATTGGTTGGTTTGTAGTTCATATAGCCAGTATTCTAACTAGCTAGCATAACCGTTAATCCAGCTAATGGTCATCTAGGAAGTTTTAAATTAATGAGATCTGTTGCTAAAACTACACATAGATTAGCTGAGTGAGCTTTTGCAGTAGTTAGCATACTTGCTATCCAAACTACAGCTGTTTCAAGTTGTTTCTTTCCTTTACACACCACATTTACTGCATGTGGTGTTTCATTCTGTCCATCAAACAGAAGGTTTTTCTATAATGAAAGCCTTTTTATTTGAAGCTGTATTGAGTCTGACGCCACTGTGAGTTGCAGCAGAACAGTGTTACAGTTATGACAGAAAAGTCTAAGGTTGGAAACGAAAGAATTGCATTTTATTCAGTTTGTAGGGGAAACTGGGGCACAACCTAACACATTGAGGTTTTTTGTTGAATAACTTTAAAAATATTTAAGTTTAAATAATCATATTTTAACACAAGTGACATATACATCTCTGCTACAAACAGACACTTGAACATTGTTTCTAGCATCTACCCTTCATGTACAATTCCACAGAAAATGACGGGAAGTGCAGTGTTACAGTTTACCCTATGGGTGGGTTCACTGTAATAGACAGAGGGTCAGTTTAACACCTGCTAGAAAAGTCTGATGAATCAGTGCAAACAAAGTTAGTTCAGTATAATTCTAAGACTTTAGTTTTGAGTCAAAGTTGAGTCACAAATCAGTTAGATGCGAAGAAGGCAACGTGCAACCTCAGTACAACTCTAGTCCCCATCTTTGACTTCCAATCACTGGCCACTTTATGAGCTCCTCCTACCTTATAGGTCCCCTATATGGGTGTACAATTACACAGTGTAGCCTGTTATCTTGCACAGTTAATCACCAACCCTTTACCCTCTGCACTATTGGTCAGTTTACAGGACTATTGCTGCCCAGATATTATTTGGCAGGTTCACCGTTCTCAACACTGACATGATAGTGGTATGGTAGTGGGTGGCTCTGTTATGAGGCCAAGAGTGGCTTTGAGAATTTGAGAATGGTTAACACAAATTATACATCCACAGATGGGCTGCAGTTTCTAATAACAAAAGTAGAATTCTTTAATTATTCCAAATGTATTCTATTCTGTACATATCTAACTTTTCCATATGTAAATATTAAAAATTGCATGGCCTCTATCTATTCATCCTCAATATGGTAAAATAATATCCAATCAATTATCTCTCCCTAGTGCGTCGCTCTAAGGCGGCAGACGAGGAGATGAAGAAGAAGGCCCGGTGGGCAAGAGATGAGTATAAACGGCAGTCCATCCGAGCCATCGAGCAAGGCCATGTGGCAGGCCTCAGCGGGCACTTCCAACAACAGCCTCATGTTATCAGGAGGCATAGCGCCACCATAGAGCAGACGGCAAAATCGCCACCTTGCAGCGAAGACCGTCCTCGGCCCGGCCTCCAGCCTGCAGCTCCACCCCTGTACCGCCGGAGACAGAGTCGCAGACACAGCACCATAGTGACCCAGCCGCTGATGGACAGGTGAACAGGCACCACGTTACACAAATCAGAACCACTGGGTAGAATATGCCTACCTACTATGTCTTTTCTGGGAGAGTTTTACCCATAGTAAAAGTTTTTGCTGGACTATATGACATATAGGTATTATATGTCAAAATATTTTTGCAGTGTTTTGTAGTTTTATTGATTTTCAAAGTATAAAGAACTTAACACAACCTCTACAAAGGACACATACATACATACATCATCTAAACCGCTTATCCTTCTGGGTCACGGTGGGGTGCTGGAGCCTATCCCAGCTGTCATTGGGCAGAAGGCAGGATACACCCTGGACAGGTCGCCAGTCCATCGCAGGGCAGACGGACAGACATACACATTCACACCTAGGGGCAATTTAGCATTTCCAATTGGCCTGACTGCATGTCTTTGGACTGTGGGAGGAAACCGGAGTACCCGGAGGAAACTCACGCAGACACGGGGAGAACATGCAAACTCCACACAGAAAGGACCCTGGGCGCCTGGCCGGGAATCGAACCCAGGCCCTTCTTGCTGTGAGGCGCCACCGTGCCGCCCTCTACAAAGGACACAATTCTGCAAATTTTAATGCTCTATTACTGTTTATTTGATGAATTTAAGAAATTGGGAAAAAATAAAACTACTGATATGGCACATTTTATATATTGTTTTTTTTTTCCCAACACGTTAAACTCAGCAAATAAATTGTGCACTAAAATTTGCAGAAAATGCCATATTTAGGTTTATTTCCACTTAGAAAATCAACAAAACATCAGTGTTAGAGGGATAGTCACACTCTTCTATACAACTGTATATGACAGCTAGACATTGAGAACTTTTCTTATTGGAGATACAAGGTTTTGGGATTTGTTATAACAGTGATGGTTCTATATATACACATTGTCATTGTCACAGCAAAACTCAAAACCTCATTTCTTACACTCAAAGATACATTCTTAGGGCTCTGTGTGGCACAACCATCTAAGCATTGTCATAGGGAGATCGCGAGGTCGATCCCTGGTTATGCTACAGCCATCCATGGCCAGGAGTCCTTGAGAGCACAATTGGCCTCGCTCTCTCTGGGTGGGTGGGATGGCCCCCCTCTCCCCCCATCTCCCAGCCGGTGCTAGTCAGTGCAGGTGTCTGTTAGCTGACTTAACACTTCTGGCATTGGCTTTTTCCTATGAGCATGTTCAGCCGTCCAATGACGTTGCATGAGCGGCAGTTCAAAAAGATGCAGTGCCTGGCTTCACAGGTCTCAGAGGAAGCTGGTGCTAGCCTTCACCCTCCTTGTGCTGGTGGTAACGTGTGATTCTAACTAGTGGGTGGAATAGGATATGACTAAATTGGGTAGACATTTGAGGAAAATATAATAATAAAAAAAGTTACATTTTAACATGTCGTGCACTGAAAGTTTCTTAGCTCTCAATGTAAGTCAGGGCAACTAGATTTTATTTTATTAAGTCATTTTGGACCATTGTTAACTTTATTAATGTTCCTCCATATATTAGCATTATGTTGTTCTATTACATTCACAATATGTCTTGTTGTCATTGCTCTCTCTATCTCTTTCTCTCCCTCTCTCCCTATGTATCCCTATGTCTCTCTCTCCCTAGCCCTGCCTGGGTGCGCTGTCCTCGTCCGAGCTCCAGAGAGTCTGTCATTTTATGGTTCTGTGAAGACCAGAAGCCCAAGCGGGCTGGTTATGAACGCAATAGTGACACCATCGCCCCATGGTTTCATGGTAAGATGATTGTATTGCGACTAAAGGTGCCATAGTATATAGGATATAGCCCCTTTAATCTTAATATTTTTAAACTACTAGTTAACTGCAAAGCCCATCTAATCAGACACAACTGCTCTAATAAACACCACTACCATGAAACCACACAACACAACAGCAACAGTGCATTTTTACATTGGGAGTGTGGCACATCCCAAGAGAAACTTTGTATGGCTACACCCCCCTAAGCTCTCCAGTGCAGCCTATGATGGAGCCCACAGTATCAAAATATTCAATATACAAATTTAAAGGCACAATCTCAGAAAAAAAAGTACTAAACTGTCACTGGGTTGGTTCCCTCAAGGGTACATCTCAGTACCTTTAGTCAGGGAACATAATTGTACCATAATCCATTGAAATGATATTGTTGAATATCATAATCATCCATTGAAAGTTGACTCCACAAACCCTGGGGGTGTGGGTCTCGTCTCCAGGCTTTTTATGTCATTGTTCTGTTTTAAAACATCAGCTTATGAAAAGGTGCAAATATGTTCTTTTCCCACTGAGAAAAATTATTTAAGGTGCACAATTGGACCTTAAAACCACTGTTGCACCTTAGAGGGAACATTTACATTGTTTGTACCTTGATAAACAAAAAAAATGTACCTGCAAAGTACCTTTATTTCTAACAGTGCAAGATCCATGCATGACCAGTGACTGGCTATTCCATTTGTACATTGTTTTTCTGAGTGTAAACCATTAAACCATTCAATTGTAATGACATTGTTCTGCAAAGTGCTGACTACACAGCAGGCATGTAGACATCTATCAGCACCCTTTAAGCAGGAAAACAAGGTTGACCTTTTCCCTCCTGCACGTACTACAATGCACAAAGAGAACGCAATGGAGTGGAGAACAGATGGCCTGGTTTTGCAACTGGAGACTCCCTAACAGACAGTTGGACGGCAATGCTGTGTGTGCGTGTGTCTAGTGACAGTCAGGAGAGAGGAATGGAGGGGAGTCCTAAATAATTCAGAGGCTTTACTAGGCTAATTACTGGCACAAATCCCACAGCTTTGTCTTGTCAGAATGGGTCATAGTGGGTGACCGCTGCTTAATTGACAAGAAAGCTGATTAATAGGCTGGCAAGTGTCAGAAATTCCACTGGAACAAGGGGCTCAACACGGTCCTTTCTTATCTTAATGTAGGGCTCTAGATAAGGTTATGTACACACAGACAAGTGCACAGCTAAAAGGTTAGAATTACACAGCTGGTTCGGACATGGAAACTCCTCAGCTTGCTTTCTAGTAAAGAGATGACAGGATTACAACAGGACAGGACTTTATCATGTGTGGCCTGCTTTTATGAAAGACAGATTCCTTCACTTGGTGAGTGGAGCTCATATCAATACTAACAAGCAAGTTTTGTTGGAGTTGTTGTTCATATGGGGCAAGCATTGCCCATCACCAGACACTGTGAGACTGTCGATGTGTGTGTAATACTTACCTGTACACCTACCTGGAATACTCACCTGTTGTCTGTTCCCTAGAAGAGTCATCAAAAGGGAGGCAGAGCAGACTGAGCTCACTCATGAGTGTGCCCATGGCTAGCTCATGGGAGGGGTGATGTCTTCAACCTAGGTCCTAGAAAAGAAAGTGAGACAGGTCAATAAATGTGGGCATTGTATTGAAAACACTTTTACCAGTAACATAACCTACCAAGGGCCTTATGATATTGATTGTATTAGATCATGGTTGTATTGACCCTTGTTTTAACCCACTCTTAGAGGATAGCGACACCCCTGTGGAGTGGAATGGGTTGGCTCAGGTGATACAGGGGCGGGGCTAATCCTATAAGAAGTATGGGAGAGGTTTAGTAAAGGAGGGTTGATAGTACTCATCTCAGACTGAGAGGCAGCTGAGGGAGATGTGAGTCGAGCCAGTCAGAAGTGTAGTTCTATGGCCTTGCGGCCTAGAACTACATATGCTTACCTGTGCTGCTATTGAGTCAGGGTTAATATTTTGACTACTGTTTGTTTTCGTTTTTCTTTTGTATGTTTTTCACGTCTGTAAATAAATCACTCACCGTTTGAACAGAACCACTCAGAGTCGTCATATCTTTCACCTGCAACTTCATCCCTCAAACCATTCAGTCACAATCTACCCGGTGAATTCGTGTCTCCTCATGTGGTTTGGCGAAGCATCATCACAGTAAACAAATTATTTGGCTAGTCTGAAACTGGTCCTATTGTCTTCTTCATTTCTGCCAGTATAACAGTGAAGTACACTCTAAAATTTTATATTCTAAAGATTTGCTATAACAAGGAACCTATAAACGCAGCTATTTTAAACATTCATACTAATGATAGAAACTTAAATAGCCATATTGATGATGGACATTTCAGGCAACTATGCCAAAAATATGCCTTTAAAGACATCATTCTTATCTCACAGCTGTATTTCTCCCCTGCAGGAATCATTACCAGAGAGGAATCTGAGAAGTTACTGAAGAACGAGGCTGAAGGATCTTTCCTGGTCCGTGTCAGTGAGAGGATTTGGGGTTATACGCTGTCATATCGCACAGCCAGTGGCTTCAAGCACTTCCTTATCGACGCCTCTGGGGACTACTACAGTTTTCTGGGAGTCGACCAGAACCGCCACGCCACTCTTACTGACCTCATCAACTTTCACAAGGTAGCTAGCTTAAGGCTAACAGAGCATGCAGAAGTTCACACGCTATGTTATCTGTCTGTGAGTCATCTGACCTAAATGTGAACATATAAAATTTGTACCTGTTACAACTTCAGTTTCAAACTCGAGTAGTTTATGAGGGGCAGGATGGGTCCATTTATGTTAATGGATTAAGGGGGTACTCCAAAATAAAACATTTAACCACAACTTCATAAAGATATACTATGTATTGTTAACATGCTTACTTGAATCCTACAGTGAGATGCTACAGTTTAAATACTAGGAAAAGCCCCTCTGATGATGTGTCTTAAAGGTGGGAGGAACTTTTTTAAAAACTATGTCGTCTTCAAAGTGGATTCTTTTTTGCCTTTTCCTTAGAAAGGCAGAATGCTAACATAACTGCTAGGAAGCCAACTACTAGGAACTACGATGGAAAACATACATTGCTCTATGACAGAAATGACTCATCAGATAAGAGGACAACAAGCTAAAAGTTAAAGTTAGCAAGGTATCTAGCTATCGAGACAACTTACCTCAGTTTGGCTTCTGTCATGGCTGAAAAAACGTGTCTCTGTAGTCCACTTTGTGCCAAATTACATTTTGCTGTTAATAATGGTTTTACAATTTGGACCAATAGCTGATGGAAGAGTTACACTAATGCTAGCTTGGCTGTATATATACGCCTATAGATCAGTGGCTTGCAGTCAGGATTTTCAATGGTTGTATGATATATTGGTGTCATGCATTCTTGGTATTATAGTAAGAGAACACTGGTGAACTGAAAGATGAAAACTATAAAAACTATAAAAATTGTGAATTATGTCCAACTGAGGCTGAAGGACACAATGCTGCACTACAAAATACTGCATAACAACAATTTTGGCACTACTTTACAATAAGACTACCATTATAAAGGACATATGAATGGTTTAAAATGAGTTTGTTGATGGTTATTAATTGGATCACAAATATGTTTAAACATTAATAAGCAGTTAGAACAAATCAATAAGAAGGGCAACAGTAACATAGGTGTTTATGACCTAAAAAACATTAATAAACTAATTTTAAACCTTCATGATTTTTATAAGGGTAGACTTATTGTAAAGTAGTTCCAACATTTTTAACTCCATTTCTAGGCTGGATGTCCCTTTAAGCATCAACAGCAATGACAATCTTAAATCTGCATTAGTGCCACATTTGTGGAAATCAAAGCCCGAACTAATTAAAATGTAATTTAAGAAAGCAAGAAAAAAGTTATGTATGTATTGAATCGATATTATTTTCCATTGTTCTAATTCAAATGATCAAATATTTGCTCTAAATTAACTGAAAAGAAAAAAGTGTCAATATCTTCTGTCTACGTCCCTGAAGGGATGTGTGGTATTTTCTTGTGAGCACCACATATCAACTGGTAAGCACTAAACACCACGTGGTGAGCACCCAATATTATGAGTTGAGCTCCCGGTACTATGTGGTGATCACCCGATACTATCAGATGAGCACCATATACTACGTGGTATACAGCCGATACTATTAAGTGAGCACCCAATACTGTGTGGTGAGCACCATATACTATATCAGGTGAGTACCAGAGAAACACATTTTGTTATAGGATCTGGTGCTTACCTCATAGTATCTGATGCTCACCACATAGTATCGCGTGCTCACCTGATAGTATCAAGTGCTCACCACATACTAACAAGTGCTTAGCATTTAGTATTTACTGCTCACTTTAGAGTATCAAGTGCTGACCACATAGTGCCTGTTGCACTCCAGACTTTTTATCTAAAATAATACACCACCTCCTTTCAGGGGCTCAATAACTGTCAACAAAATTCTAATTCAACACAATTTTAAATTTTTTTATTGCATTGTTCTGCTCTAAAAGACACCAACTCAGTGCTCCACACAGTGGACCAGTTTTGTAGGCTGGGATTAAGCCTAGATTAAGATAAAACAGCAATATCAGATGTTTGACTGCTAGTGTGGAAAAATGTTAGTCTTATAAATGGGAGTGAATGAGAATGTCTGTCAATCAGTCAGTCGGTCAATGAGTGATTGAGTGAGTTACAAGCTACTTAAAATGGCTACTTAATTTAGGCTTAGGCCTAATTTGGGTCTGGGAAACTAGCCCAATTAGAGGCCTTCTGTGAACAGAAGCCTGCCCATCTGCAGGTGGGACAGCAATGAACATTCAGCGGCGACATCTTCATTCTGCCTTGAGGCAGCTGCCACCAAAACAGCAATGCTATAGTTTAAGACTGCAGAATGCATTGTTATAAGTTCTTAACTGGCCACCTACGTCTGCTATTACACAACTGGCTATTTTAAGAAAGTTAAAGAATGTGAGTTCATGTGCTGCCCATATGCAGGAAGTGCTGGGAATATACATCAATCACGATGTAGTAAGTTTTCTAACTGAATGCTTTCATGGTTGTCTGAATAATCCACACTTCACTGCACCAGCCCCTGTGTAACCATGGATACATATTTCCACCAGCCGCCAGAGACGGAGGCGTAAACTATGATATCTCTGACGTTAGTTATATGCTAATGCAGAGCGTATTGTACCACTGTCAGCAGGGCTTCTATTCCCCAAGCCTAAAATGGAAGTAAGAGTATGCAAAGGAGAATTGAGTAGACTTTGTAAGACATATTGGGGTTTTACATTGAATACATATGACAGGTCTTAGCCAGTTGTGATAAATCACACGGAGAGCCACACCTATTCTAGGACACAGCCTGTTTTCTCTGTTTCTGCATATTTATCACACTAAATGGTTTCAGACCCTTGAACAAAGTGTAAGATAAGACAAGGAGAACATGAGAACCCACAAAACACTGTTTTTAAATGATTGTTTGATTTATGGAAGGAACTGTGATACTGGTTGTGTCACCAAAGCTTCCTATAACTGGAGATCAGTCTTTCACATCGCTATAGAGGAATTTTGCCCAAACTCTTCTTTTCTGAATTGCTCTAATTCAGCCACACAATTGGCCACATTCTGAGGATGAACTGCCATTTGAAGTTCTGCCACAGCATCCCTCAAGGGGTTCAAGTCAGGACCTTGACTAGGCCACTCAAGAAACTTTATTTTCTTTCTTTTGAGCCATTCAGAGATGGACTTGCTCTTGTGCTTTGGATCACTGTCTTGCCACATGACCCAATTATGCTTGAGCTTCATATCAAACTCATGAGTGGACATTCTCTTGCAGGAGTTTCTTGTAGATAACACTACCACCACCATGTTTCACTGTTGGTATTATGTTCTCTTCATGAAGTTCAGTGTTAATTTTAAGGCAGATATAAAGGGATCCCTGTCTTCCAAGATGCTTTTGGCTCACCAGTCCACAGAACAGTATTCCAAAAGGCTCCAAAAGGTCACTACAATGTTTTTGCCAAATGTCAGAAGTGGCTTTATTTTCCTTGTGGTTTCTGCCTCACAATGTATACCATTTTTATCCAGTCTCTTTCTAAAGGTGGAATCATGAACACTAACCTTTCTGATGCGAGTGAGGCCTACAGTTCCTTAAATGTCATCTGGGTTCTTTTGTGACTTCCTGTGCTGGAGGAATTTCAGTAGGCCAGCCATTTGTGGGAGGTTTCCCCATTGTTCCAAGCTTTCTCCAGTTGTAGATACTGTGGTTCACTGGAGTCCCAGAGCTTTAGAAATGGCTTTATGGCCTTCGTAACCTTTGTAAGCCTTTCCAGACTGAGATACTTTCTTTCTTATCCCTCCTGGAATTTCGTTTGCTTGCAGCATGGTGTGCTGCCATTTAAGATCTTTTAGCCTGCTTCACATTGCTGGAAAGGCTCTATTTAAGTGATGTTTAGATTCAACAGGACTGGCAGGAATCAAGCCTGGTTGTCTATGGTTTAACTGATTCCAGAGATCAACAAAATTTGATTAATTGTTTGATAATAATAAATAAAACAGTGATTTAAAAACTGCATTTTGATTTTACTTGACTCAGGTTGACCTTATTTTATGTGGAATTTTGTCTGACGATCAAAACAATTATTTAAATATGGTAAATATGCAAAAACAAGAAAGCGGGAGGGGATGCAAATACTTTTTTCACAGCACTGCAGATTGCAGAGCTGAAGCTACTTTGACTCAGCATGCTACTCTGAAACTGTCCCTGACACTATTTTTTCTAACATAGTGATAACTGTGTGTATTGTCACTTGATTGTTAGCCTTGCCAGAATGCAAATAGGACCTTGACCCATTTGATGTTAATGCATAACTCACCCTCTTTCTTTTTTAGGAGGAAGTCATTACCACCACTGGGAAGGAGCTGTTACAGGATGCATGCAAACAGGCTTCATCCTCTGGAGACTATGGTGGACTGTTCTCATAACTACTGACCTTCCACTGGACCCCGTAACACTTATAATGGTGACTTTGGCCATTAAAAGTAGTGCTAAAAGCAACATGTTAGTGAACCCACAAGCCAATGTATTCCAAAAGGTACAAGCAATGGAGGCCAGGTGTGGAGAAAGTTTTACTGAACCTGTGGACAGCAGTGCATGAACTTTGTTGAAATGTGGCCTAAAGTGGCATTCCGGCCCATAACTAGCATGTTATTTGTTATGTTATGAAATATTCCGCACAACAGCAATGCTTCTCTCAGCTCATCAGTTTGGAAAAAATAACGATTTGGTTCCTTTTTTTGTGTTTTCATCCATCAATGTTCTCTCACTACAATACCCAACATGCATCACACAAGTACATCATAGTTCATGATATTCAACTTCCTAGCAGTAACATTAGCTATATGGCTTCTGTTTTCATTAGCCAGCTAAAACAGCCTGCCCTCATGTATCCACCCCAAGTTGTTCAAGACATCTCCCTCCTTCAAGTCGCATCATCAGAAGGGGGTTTTCCTACTCTTTAAACTGGAAAATCTCACTCTAGAGACTGCTGTGGAACCACTGTGGGAGGTGAGTAGGCCTTTTTACATCAGATGTAGTAATGGTTACATTTTTTAATTTGGTTAATTTTGAGCGTCACTTTAACCAGAACAGATGTAGATGGAAAAAATAGCAGGCTTCTGGAAAGGAGGCATAATTTCAGAGCTCAGTCTTGTCATGCCAGATAAATGGGTCTGATAACAAAAAATGAAATGAGTTGGTTCAGTTCAAATAAGCATGTGCACAAGGCAAAAACCTTTTAATGCTCCTCACAAAGATTTGGTTGTAACAAGACTCAAACCGTAACAAATTCAATTCTTATTTTTGAAAGAAAAAGCTGTAGAAAAGGCAATAAAGACTTCCTGCACTCCAAAATGTCTTTGTATTTGGTTGACTTTGCTACATCAGCATCAATATGTACTTCTGTGTGAAAATGATTGGTGAGGTGCCATTTGTAAACATATTTTTGATGTCACAAAACAACCTGGTGCAATGTACAAAAAAATGCTGGCTAACATGCTAACATGTTAGCATGATGGCCTGAAACTTTGAGCATCAGAACAAATAGACTAGCTAATGTTAGTGGTGTAAATATGAGCTAGTTTATTATCACTGAGTTAGCTTACAGTAGCACAGTAATAGGCATAGGGGGACATTATAATGCATTTGCAATATGCTTCACAAGTCAGCAGCCAGTAAATAACAGGCTGCTTATTACTACTTTATTAAGAAGTAACTAGGATAAATTAAGCATTTTCCAGAGGATTTTCTTATATTGTACATCATAATATTTTGCACAATGTTTTAGGAGCCTGTTATTTTGCCCTAATTAAGCCTTATCTAGCAAATACCTGGTAACTAATTCATCAAGCCAATAACTACTAATTAATTGTCTGCTTATTACTTCATTATTTAGCAGTACCTAAGGTGATCTAGGCACTTTTTTCAGAGTACTTGTAATGTTCTTATTAAGACTTCTCAACCCAGTAATTAACAGGCTGCTTATTACTACTTTATTGACATGTAACTAGGGTGAATTAAGCATCTTCCTGAGCATTTCCTTATATATTGTACATCATAATCTTTTGCACAATGTTTTAGGAGCCTGTTATTTTGCCCTAATTAAGCCATATCAAGCAATTATTTGGTAACTAACTCATCAAGCCAATAACTACTAATTAACTATCTGCTTATGACTTCATCATTTAATAGTATCTAAGGTGAGCTAGACACTTTCCAGAGTACTTCTAATGCTCTTATTAAACCTTCTTCTACCCAGTAGTTGACTGGCTGCTCATTACTACATTATAAACAGTAACTAAAACAGTAACTAAAGAGAATCATGCAAATCCAGAGCATTGTTATTCATGGATTGTATGATTTTCTTGTTGACATAAAGAGCAACTAGGTATTTTGTAGGTATTGGCTTTATAAGTTACTAACAGCTATAGGATTGGCAAGGCTTAAACAAAGCATTATAAAGGACCCTTTAAAGATTTTTATGAATGACACAAATAATGCAGTGGGAAAATCTATGCTAGTACTGATTAATAATGTAGTTATAAGCAGTCTATTAATAACTACTGGATTGCTCAATAAGTGCATTAATGTCACCCTATACTGATGTTACATAGTTTACTAGCAGCAAGCAGTAGGAGTAACCATATCTAACTAAGTTTAAAGGTGGGTGGCCTAGGACATGGGGGCTTTCCAATTTGCATAATCATGTGATCTTTTGAGGTTAAAAGTGAAGAAATTGCCACTTTATTGCTTTCTTCTGGCACAAAAATAATGTAAAACATTTCAAACGTGAACTGGAGCAGGTTCCTCCTCACAAAAAGGAGTTTCTCTAGAGCTCCTGTCAGGTTCGCTTCTATAGTCCTGACAGCTTTTTCCATGCAGGAGATTGGCTTTCTGATTGCGTTTCCACAAAGCGAAACCTAATCCGCTCGTCCTCAGCATGAGAGCGCTCCTCCATACCAAACACAGGTGGTGAAACTTCAAGTTCTTTGTCTCTATGGTAGAACACTGTCCATAGGCCTGTTTCTAACAGAAAAGGCCACAAAGTAATGCTTTAATAAGGATTGGGTTTCGAAAAGAAGCTTGAGAAGGTGGATTGGCCTGGTTGGAAAGTAGGTTGCTGTTGTTGTAAGGGATATGGGCAGGCTGTCCAGCTCAGGGTGTCAGATTTCCCCCCATTACAACTCAACAAGGATTTTCCCAACATTTTAAAACTGTGTGTCGGGTCAGAATCTGTGCCTTGTAAACCGACCTCAGCAACAGATTTGTTCTTCTTCCCCCTTCCTCTAGTTAAGCTGACACAAACAAAAATACAAATATAGGTAAGTGCACTGATATATATATATATATATATATATATAATATATATATATATATATATATATATTCACATTTCTCAAATTTCCTTTCTATTTACCTGTTGTATATACACACTTAAAAATGATGGTTCTTAAAGGGTTCTTTAGTAAAGTTCTACATGGAACCCTGAACACTCAAAGAACCCTTGGCATGAATAAAGGGTTCTTTCGACCATGAAACATTCTTCAGATTGATGGAGAATGTGTCTATGTAGAACCTTTTTGAAAAGGGTTCAATATAAAAAAAATGTCTATATAGAACCATCTACAGCATTTTTTCCATCTATCTGAATAACCCTTTCACTCTATACAGAATCTAACTAAAGAACCCTTCAAGAACCATAATTTTTAAGTGTGTAGACATGATACAAAAAACATACAGATTTTCATTTTAATCTCCTGGTACTTTATGATTCCATGTAACCTAACAAGGTTCAGGGGCTTAGGAGGAAAAAGATCCTCAGAACATCACAGATCCATCTCCATATTTAACAGTGGGGATGAGGTTCTTTCCTGTGTAATCATCCTTCTTTTCATACCAAACCCATCTTAAGTGTTGCCAGAGAGCTCATTTTTTTGTCTCATCTGACCACAGAAGCCAGTTTCAGCCAAAGTTTCAGAAGCAAAGCAAACTTCAGACATGTTTATGAAAGAAAGGGCTTTCTTCTGGCACATTTTTCTTGGCGTCTAACTGAAGTTCTGGAGATCGGGTGACCTTCTGCAAACCTCCAACTGCAATTCTTAGAGAATGTTTTTCTTTCTAGCATTACTCCTTATGTTGCATAGGGGAGAAATAAACATGCATCTTCCTCCAGTCAGTGTTCACTACAGCTCTGGTTGTTTGAAACTTCTTAATTATTGCCCTAACAGCGAGTATGCACATTTTCATGCATCTAGCTATTTTTTTATTGCTGATTATCTGATTTATGAAGGTTTTATGAACATTTGTCTCATTTCATTTATGTATGTATTTCTAATCTTTCCTATGTTGATGAATGAATAAGTAAGTCTAGCCACTATGTCACCTCACATTAATACTTCAGTAAGTGTCACAAAAATTGGATTATTATATCAAATCGAATCAAATCACGGTTATTGTCACATCACATTTACACAGGTGCGAAGGTGAATGAAAATCTGTAGCCCCCTTGTTATACTTAAATACAAAAGAAATAATAAGTGTGTATATATATATATATATGATATATATATATATATATATATATATACACATTAGACTCTACATACACACATTATTATACACCAGTATTTTTTCAGATTACAAACGATATAGGGAAAAGATACACAAGATGTCAATCAATGGGCAGAGTTTTTCTTCCCCCATAAAAAGCCCCTCTTCCTCGGCCCGTACCTTTATACCTTTGTCCCTGAAGTCAGAAAAAATCTACAATGGTAACCACATCCCACAGAGTATATGACCACAAATTTATGAACCATTTACGTACAAAAAGCACCATAAAACAGTCAACTAGAAAAACACAACTATTTTTAAACCAGACGAAACTATGCTAAAACCCCTCAACGTGCTAGCTAAGCTAAAGCTAGCTTCATGTAATGATAGCTGCTTGTAAGGCAATGGTGTTTAACTACATGGCTAAGTTAGCTGGATAAATTTAACCAAGTTTCAACTTCAGTCAAACTACAAACATAAACATGTTAAATATGACATGCAAATGCACAGTCAATTGAAAACAGCAACTTACATTTGTAAACGCTTTCCTCAGCAGAAACTGCTGCTCTGTCTGCCATCTTTTTCAAACTGAAGCGATAGAACTCTCGGCAGTTGAACAGGATTTTGGGATTGGCTTCACAGAGAAGGATACATGCGACGCTGCTTTGGAATCCAGTCAAAATACGGCACCTTAGCAGGCAGCTGACTTGTGCCGCCTTCAGAATGAGACAGCCCTAATCTCTGGAGTGTGCAAATGCTGCTTTAAAGTGCTGCCTACTGAGGCAGCTGCCTTCTGAATGGAACATACCAAATGTGTGCAAGTATAGAATTGCTAGACTAAATTTACAGTAAGTGAGTCAGAGTGAGTCTGTTTGAG